GTGGAATACACAATTCGTGGCATAAAAACGCTCCGAGAGCACACTTCGACTTCGGTTATCCGGTATGACGCAGACAAGTGGACGATTTGAAATTCTGAAATGATGAATCTAGGTGCAAACGGTCCTTTGGACTGGCCTGACACATCGGACTGCGACAACGGATCTCCGCATGAAGTGGACATACAGTTTGAGTTGAAGTGAAATCCCCTTACTCTGAAGGAATGAGACAACACGGTGATGATGGTCGAGTTGATGGTCCACACTGCATGAGGCAAAAGATCTGCGCCTCCTCATTCCCAATTTCCACTATGGCGTCCCGCACCTTCGTACCTAAACTTAATACGTCACACAAGAAGACTATAAGTTTCATTAATGAGCCCCTCTTGGGTGATTATCAAAACGGATCAGTACTGCGCAAGGCGACAAGGAGCTCCAGTTTAAGCCGTTTCGCCTTAAACTGTCTCAGAGATGGTCGGAGAAACAAGACATACGGTGATGGTAGACCTCTGAAGGACTATCCCAAACACATCTGGTTGATAAAGTAACAAACAGAGATCTGACAACTGGCAACTCATAAAGACTTACACAGCTTCAAAGTGGACTGGCAAACATCGTCCAAAATGCATGAATAGATGATTCATTGAGGCGATCCTTACTAGGATGAACTGTGTGTAACAGAATAATATTCCTTTTTGGAATGTACGGAGTGAAACCGTTCTTGACGTGCACACTTGCACAGACGAAAGCTGTTGGGAGTCCGGATGGACAGCTTTAATCGTGCGTAGTTGCGGGGATTGTGGCGCTCGTCCGAACAGTCGTCTTCACAGGGCGAGATGGCCCAAGTGGATAGAGCGCGAATTTACTGACTAGAAGGTTCGCGGTTCGAACCCGACCTCCGCCAGTCGATTTCCCCTGTCTAGGCTTGGGCAACCTGGCAGTATCCCAGCTCTCATGCTTCCTTCGGGTGGCATGGCAGCTAGACACCGGAAGTGTGCTACAGCTGATCACTTTTTCTTCACAGGGCAATCAACTATATTCCGTTTACCAGGGCTCCTCAGTCAGATAGCACCACTGAAGTTTGGAGCCTACTAAACGGTTCGGATTAGTGTACGTAGTCGTGGGATTCGCACAGCCTTCATTCACATCACTGCGGACTGCTAAGAGCCAGTCTCATGTTGGCCACATGGAATGAACGAAACAAGATATTTGTGCTAGGTCGTAAGAGGAACTACCGATTGTTCACCCTTCTGAAACCAAAAGAAGGACGAATCGATCAAGAGCGTTGACAGTATCCAACAGAGAGTACGTGCCCTTCATGGGCTTACTTACATAACATCAGGCGGTCCATCAAGGTTCAGGCACGGATTCTAAAGACTACGTAACACTAACGGACATGAGGTATGTGAAGTCTGAGTTGTGTTCAAAAAGCAGGACTCTTCACCGAAGCGTTGATCAAGACGAAACTACTGAAGGAAGCATTCTGTAGCATTAGGATGTCTTCCCCTCCTTAAAGTAGACAAAGCTCAGCACACCCAATGCGATTTTTTTCGGATAAACATCTCCCATCACCAGGGAAGCTATTCGAGAACGATAACAAGCGTTCAGTCTGTTAGAGAGATCTTCACTTCCGATTTCAGGTAGCAGACAATGCAATTTCCTGTCCAAGCAAAAACACGTGCCGATTTCAGCCAATTTCACAGAACTCGATAGACTTTGCAAGACGTTCGTTGGAGCCAATATGCACGTGCGTCACCGTGACGAGAAGCTCCTCCTAAGGGGATGTGTCACGCGCTAACCGCTGCCTCCTGCTGTGTGGGAGCTGTCTGAGGACCAAACGCGGCTGTTCTAATCAATCATAAACAAACTTGATCTGGTTCTTGCGCGAAGGACTGACTGTCAACCGACATCGCGGTGTTAATCATATGCAGTCTGATACAATCTCAAGGAAAAATGGGATGGAACAACAGCCGCGTGAACACCAGTTTCAAACTAGGTTTTGCGCTGCATGATCGACAGCCTTATCTATTTTGGTGCCGAAGGGGCTTCAAGCCAAGGAAATGTTCAGAGCCCTTCATCGAAAAGCTCCAACGAGGCTGTTTGGAGTCTGAAGGACAGCGACTTTAATGGTGGTATCGCAAGTAAAGTCATACTGGGTTACTCGGGACAAAGATGGCAGGCAGAAAGCCCAAAACTATGCAACTCCTACTCACTGAGGAGAACGTTGTCTTGTTGCCGGTAATTTTATACACCAGCTAGACAGTCATTCGAAACTTCACTAACGTATCGGTCGAATATCTTCGTATAACGCTGGAACGTCAGAGAATCATCAGAGACTAAAAATGAAACACGAATAACAGTGGTTTTGGACCTAAACTTCACTACTTGGGTAAAGATTTTTTGGCATCGGTAATAAACAGCGTCCGTTGGAGAAAGTTGACCCCTGAGAAAGTGAATTCGGATTAACGAAAACCCCGTACAGCGAATCTGGATAGTAACCTCAAGATTGCTGAGATCGCTTCGACAGCCTACGAGCGATTTCGCCCAATCTGGGGCTCATCGGGTAGGCGCAGTCCCCCATTTGTCGTCAAATTTATGGTCTAATTGAACAATAAGTCGCACGAAATTCGGCAGATCCACCCAGTTACATGCCAAGTAGGTTTAACGAAACACAACCGAATCCCGGTTGAATCTCCTATGATATTCACCACCCGAATGTGTCGCATAAAGGCTGCCTCACGATTCAGCTGGCACGACATTCGAGACATCGCAGTATATTTTCGTAAGGGAAATTACTCACAAGGTTGCTGAAAATTCTTCGACAGCCCACGACCGGTTTCGCCCTTCTTGGGGCCCATCAGGTGGGCGCAGTCCCCGAGTTTCCGTCAACCTTATGTTCTACTTGAACCCGAATTGGACTGTTTTCAAGAAATACACTCATTTGCAAATCAATTTGGTTTTCACGAGAGACTCAACTGGATCTCTCGTTTATGATATTCTACAACTGAATTTGTCGCACAAAGGCCTCCTCATGACTCAATTAAGGTTCAACTAGAACATAAGGTTGACGGGAACTCGGGAACTGCGCTTACCTAATGAGCTCCAAGGGGGGCGAAACCGGTCGTGGACTGCCGAAGAGTTCTCAACAACCTTGTGAGTAATTTTAAAGTATGAAGACAAGATAGGGACTGACTATGGGAAGAAAGTCTATACAAAAGTCTAGACAACTCCATTTGATTTTCGTGTTCGTGGGCCTTCAAGCAGTTTTCAGCAACCTTGTGAGTAGTTTTCATTATGAAAATATACCGCAATATCTCGAGTATCGTACCAGCTGAAACACGAGGCCGGGCAGCCTTTCTGCAGCTCATTCATTTAAATAGTATCGTAAACCAAAGAATCAGCTGGATTCCAATTGAAAAACAAATTGATATGCAAATGAGTGTATATGAGTACTTTTCGCGATCCCGGTGCATCTTACCATGCAGCAATGAGTCTTCGGGAAACCTTGTGAGGTTACTCGTGTCTAAAACGTGTTGAAGGTAGACAGACGTCTTTGCCGCTATAGAACAGGACTACTTGTTTTAGCTAAAGGAAGGTTTTGATCCACAAGGAGTTGCAGTTATCAGAATAATCGATAGGATGGTCTGGCAACTGCGCTTTGTCTCGCACACTCAGGCGTTTACGTAGTCGATTCTTAGGGCCTTCAATTAGACCCCAGAAGAATTAAGATGACCTCGGTTACAAGGTAAGGGATCCGGGATAAAGTGCCATTCCAGCCGATCACTCACCAACTCTTGGGCGGAATCAGAGTCTTGAATCGATCGGTAAAGTGTCAGAAAGGAGAGAAGTTTTACATATGTGACGATAAGCATCGACTTCCCACGACTATGCGCACATATCAATTAGCTTCGGTGCCCTTGACTTCTGCTTCATGAGCGATGCTATTGATCTCGAGAAGAATAAAGAATGAATTCACTGTTGACTGTTGATTCATAAGCATCTAGTGGTTCGCTCCGTCAAGACCATCACATGCCTCTAAGAGGACAGCGATTTGATAGAGTACCTTCATACTTCGGTCCGCAACAGGTTCTCTCTTGTGTGCTTCACAAGATAGCCCACCTCGTTGACCGACAGTGTTGTTTATGATCCCTACTCTCTCTGTGTGTGTGTGTCTTGGTAAAAACCGATCGGTCAACGATCAAGACAACTTTTCGTGCCTGTGCACGCATAAATCTGTGGTTGCTCGCCACCCCCAATACAGTCTTTGTGTTCTACAGCCATAGACAAACAGACAGGCAAACGAGAATCAAGTGCTGTGGAAGGATCGCCTCCGGCCAGGCAAAACCCTCAAGGCACATCTACTTTGTCTGGGAAAATGCCATCTTGTCACGAAGACCAAAAACAACCTTACCGATCGGTATTCTTCTAAGGACAGGAAGTCAGACACAGACCTGGTTCTACACAATCAGAAACGGATTAGATGGAATGAATGTGAACCAGTTAGTTTGAATAGATCGATACATAGGAAACAATTGATCGATCCGAATCGTTTGTGCTACGTTTGCACTACAAGATGGTAATAATGTTGATTGGACCTTTCTACGAGAGTTTGGTCACAATTTTTACCAACTACGCAATAAAAGTGACACTTTCTGCTTAGGTTTGATTGAGTCAACCCCTAGCACATGCTTGCTCGAAGGTGATGTGCCACAGTAAAGTGACCGAAACAGAGTGCGTTTGACCGGATTACCGACCATACGCGGAAGTTGTACGTTGCAGTAGACTTTGCTACACCTGGACTGACGGCATCACGCTGTCAGAGCTGCTAGACCCAGGGTGATGCTGTTGGTTCGATATGACAACTTGGTGGCACCAGAGTTGTGAACTGCACCGAAAGTATGTTGGCTACGGACATTATCAATCGCTCAAGTGACAGCGGAAGTAGGAACGCAACAGACGTACCATTCCGGAGCTGACCGGTATTATCAACATCATCATCAACATCAATCATCATCATCATCTTCATCATCATAGTCGTCATCATCATTGTCCTCATCATCCTGATAATCATCTTCGTCATCATCATCATCAATATCACTATTGTCATCATCATCATCATCTTCATCATCATCATCTTCATCATCGGCATCATCATCATCATTTTCATCATCATCATTACCATCAACATCAACACCATTATCAACATCATCCTCGGCATCACCCTCATCGTAGTTTTCACCATCATATTCACCATCATCATCGTCATCTCCAGCTTTGTCTTCATCAACTTCATCATCATCAGCATCAGCATCATCATCAAAGACGGCAACATCAGTGTTGGTACTGATGCTTCAACCATAAGGTTCGTCTAGTTAATAGTATGATAATAAATTAATATATTATAGAACAATATGATATACTTATAATAATTTACTATGAAGCTCTATTGTGAGTAAAAGAATAAAAGTGGATGTGGAACGGGGTTAGTGCTAACCTAACACAATCAATCGCGAGATGCCTGCACCTCCAGACACCCACTCAAACAATTTGGATAGTAGCCGATGACGAGAACGTCACTGACGCCCTGTCTTGCAATGACTCCAACCGGGCACATTTGGGATCATGAGGTCCACATCCTAGGAAGCTTGTCGCAACGACGGCATCGAGGATTTTCTTAATCTCTTTCATACTCCTCTGCCAAGCGTAGCTGAACAAATATAATATGAAAAGCGGAAACCCAAGCAATCAGTGACTTTCCACTCCGGAGCTTGAAGGTAAAAAAAGAACAAAAATGTGTCGTTAGTGATATGATCAACAAAGTGCGGAAGATAACAGAAACAAAATTTCATGGTTCACTTCAATCCTTCAGTGTCTTACACGTTCTACCTGCCCTGGTGGACCGTTTAGCATCTCAGTAGGTTTAAAGCTTGTCCCATTCGACTCAAAGCTGTTTGGAACATCCGCATACAACGAGGACAATATTACTCAGGTGCTCAAAATTGTGTCACACAACTTCACGCAGTCACCTATTGCACGAGGGAAATCTTGGCGTGTTTCTTCGACGATATTCTTCCAGAACATCACCAGAATCGCCGTTTTCGTTCCCTGTACCGCTGTGCTCCGCTGCTGTTTGAATCGACTTTCGAGCCGAACAAAACGAACTCGAGAATGGGGTGTGCCAGAATCTAATGTTACAGGATTATTAGTTACTGGCATCGAACTCGTCTGCGTGCCCGAATTCTAAACCGAGACCCAGACAGGAATAGTACTCGAGTTCATTGTCTTGGCCGCGACTTGTCGGTCTAGCCAACGTTTGATGACCCACCGCAACCCCCTCCCCGAAACCGCACCACTACCTTGGTGCAGGTGCATAATGCTTAGTTTGGTCCCGTATACCAGCGGGTGTGCTTGGGTTAATGTTGATTTGGAGACACAGCTTGCGTACTTTCTCGAAAAGATTTTATAACCCGTACTGGGTCACCGAGCCTGATCTCAAATGCACCTGGCGTCTGGAATGAGGCGAGAAACAGCAGCAGTTTTCTAGAACAGCATTCAAGGTCTACGCCAACGCGGTCATCTGGACCCGTTGATTCCTGTGCGATGGGTTGACAAACTACTCCCTAAGTTGCTTAAACCTGCCCAAAACCGGTTTCTCCCAATTTCGAGGTGATCAGTTACACGTAGTCCCCAGGTTACTTTCAACCTTGTTTTGCTTGAACTGGCGTCCAATTGGTGAGCAAGTGAGCGTAATTTGCGAAGTCATGTTTTCTTGATGAGGCGTAGCGTGCAATGAGGTGACCAAATGCAAGGGAAAGATCTGGGAATGCATGCTTTTATCGGTGTTCAATAGGTGGACGCTCGTCCGATACATTTATTTATCGTGAGCAACTCGGGCTCTTGGCAGTAAACCATCACTGGTGTATTGCCGCCAAGGATGATGCTGATGATGGTGCCGCGAATGATTCCACAACAGCGCCAACGACAATCCTTTATATCCTTTATTAAAAAAATGTGAAACGGGTGGCTCAGCAAAATTGCATGTAGAGAAAAGTCACGTTAGTTCGGCCTACTTCGTTTTCTTAGGTTAGTAAGCCCGTGAGTATTGAGAACATCTGAGCTGTCTATACCGATTTTTACCGATTACTCTCCGGTAGAAATCTGAGAGTTTCCTCACAAGAAATTATACGCATCTCGGTGTGACACTAACNCAGTTACACGTAGTCCCCAGGTTACTTTCAACCTTGTTTTGCTTGAACTGGCGTCCAATTGGTGAGCAAGTGAGCGTAATTTGCGAAGTCATGTTTTCTTGATGAGGCGTAGCGTGCAATGACCAAATGCAAGGGGAAGATCTGGGAATGCATGCTTTTATCGGTGTTCAATAGGTGGACGCTCGTCCGATACATTTATTTATCGTGAGCAACTCGGGCTCTTGGCAGTAAACCATCACTAGTGTATTGCCGCCAAGGATGATGCTGATGATGGTGCCGCGAATGATTCCACAACAGCGCCAACGACAATCCTTTATAAAAAAAATGTGAAACAGGTGGCTCAGCAAAACTGCATGTAGAGAAAGGTCATGTTAGTTCGGCCTGCTTCGTTTTCTTAGGTTGGTAAGCCCGTGAGTATTGAGAACATCTGAGCTATCTATACCGTTTTTTACCGATTACTCTCCGGTAGAAATCTGAGAGTTTCCTCACAAGAAATTATGCGCATCTCGGTGTGACACTAACTTTTACCCGTGGTCTCCGTAATCGGTATTCGGTTATCGATTGAACGGAATTCGAAACTGTTTTGTACATCACGGTCACACCGTCTGTTGGTCCTCGAGTTCTGAACGTCGGTCGCACTAAATATTTCTACGAAATTCACAGTCCTGTCAGTAATGTATTACCTACGACTGAATTAGACAGTTTGTCATAGGCCACCAGAAGCTTCCCTTTTTGACCAACGTTCACAGTGATTCGTCAGGTTGAGAAGGAGTCGCTACACAGGAAGAGGTGAACATTTAATTCTTTATACACCCGCCATCTCTTGGGAGTCCATCTTGCCTGGAACACCTAACAGTTGATTAATGGCATGGCTGATAGCCAAGTAAGCTTTAATTAGTTAGGCTTTTTCATTAACAAGCTGTGTCCACCACCTCAGTCTACTGCCCCCGACTTGACTGACTCTACACTTTATTCGCGTTTCCTGAGGATCACTGAATTTCCTCTTGGGTCCCGTAGTGCCCTCATCGGGGGAGGTCATGCCTGACAAGCGATATCCGTGACCAGTCACAGTGATGGAGAACAGGAAAGCCTTTTCGCACCAAATCGGCTGTGGATATGGATTTTTAACCAGAAAGGAAGAACCTGTGCCAAACTATACTCACCCACTGACAGAGTTTTCAGCAACCTTATAAGTAGTGTGTTATGTCAAGAAAGAAATTATTTCTGGTGTATGTATCTACACAACCACAGAATGACCGATAATGCAGCCTGCGCCTTAAGTTTGCTGGAATCCGAACTCCGAGTCCTTTTTGTCATGTAAATCACAACTGTGTCCAAGCCTCGACAGTTGTCGGACCTCTCGTGGTTGCTAGCGTTACTCAAGTGCATATCGACTCCGTAACGCACATGAACCGGTTAAAAATGAGCGTGTTTACATCACATCGAAGTGGTCACGTCAGTTGTTCCCCTTGCCCAGCAACATTCGGGAGCCAGCATGAATTCAAAGTAAGATAGGAGGCCAGACGTTTTGCAGGCCGCTAAAGACCAGAGTGTAAAAGTGCGCTGTATTTGCGCACGACATCCAGCCACACAGACAAACCAAACGCTGTGTTGTATGAGATGCCAATCGAAAACAGAAGTCACCACGACATCCAGCCACACAGACAAACCAAACTCTGTGTTGTATGAGCTGCCAATCGAAAACGGAAGTCACTTGACAACGAAGGATGATTTAGAGTGCCATTCACGAAGAGCATCGAAATATCAACAGGTAAACCGGACGATGATAGACACGAGTTACTCGGCACTCACGTTTTCTGATAGAACGGACCAGCAAGCACTGGGCACTGCTGACCTCATTTGAATGGATGGATCCCATAAAACTGATGAAATACGTGGAAAAGCCACTTTGCTGTTCGTGCTTCCTTAACTCTGGACATGGCGATTTGCTCCTGTACGAGGATGCATTTTCTCCTCTAGCAGGAATATTTGACCAGGCGCAAACGAGTCAAAATTTCCTTGAATTTACAAACTACTTGTAAGGTCGCTGAAAACTCCCCCAAAGCTCATTAGCGGTTTCGCTCGCTGTGTCCCGGATACCGTTCCAAACGAAACAAGGGGCAATCTTTGTACAACACATGCAGTTGAAGAATGTAATGAACGAAAAGTTCAGGTTTGATTGACACTAATGTGATTGGCAAACAACTGGTTTTCATCGTTGCCGTATTTTCCCTGCTAAATTAACGGTTCTTCTAGACTGGTTAGTTCAGATGCCTCATTGGTTGATTGGCAGAGGTGGACAGGAGCCCAATCTTCAAACAACAACGCGTGTATCGATCGATAAACTTAAGTGCAGTGGGTATTTGTCATCATCTACCAAATAGCAGAACTCAGGTTTCCATCTGATGCCCAAATGATCAGTAGGTCTGAAGCGAGTTGAAATTGTGCCTCGAGACAAGGGATCGCCACACGGTGTAGAAACTTGTGTTCCCCTCCTGATTTCCAATTTCACCGTGGTAAAAGTGGAGAACTTTTGCTCTGGTGCATAATCCAAATGCACCTCGGGGTAAGTCATAGCTGTCAAGCACTACGGAAACTTGAAACAATTAACTACCTTTCACTTGTGGAAGATTCTAACAGAACCGATATGTGCTGTTTGAATTAGGCAGAAAGAAAGTCTCACCACAAAGCTTCAAGTTCATTCATTTCACCACACAGATGTGTAGAAAAATGACCTAAACATTTAACTCCAACAGAATAGTTTTTCCACCGCTTCACATTACTTTATTAACACGTGACTCCCAAGGGACTATGGCCGTCAAATACGCATCTGGTACACTACTACACCACCAAAAGGGGAGATGCACCAACAATCAAGCAGCTTTGTTGCTAGAAAGCCGTTCGAACACAAAATGGCCTAATGACAGTTTGGTTTACAAAACACGTCAGTGCATGTGTAGCATAATACATCTTTCGTTTGGACGTAAAACACCACCCCTCAAAAATGGCTGGAAAATCTTCGATGGTCCACAAACGGCCTTGTCCTTATTGGCGCTCAGCAGTCCCCAAGTTTTCCTTCTGTCAACCTTACGTTCTTTTTGAACCCAGATTGCACGAAGTTAGCGATACCATTTTGCTTCT